TTGGACGTACCTCCACGACCTCCGAAATGTTACCTTGGTTTGCGACTGTCCCTTGGGCTCCCTGTGCGAGGGACGTTCTGGCAGGCCTGGTGTGGTACCAGTTGGTGTGTTCAGCCGGCCCCGGCGTGGAGCGCCGCGTGGGCCGCCTTCGCCCAGTTGCCGGCATCCGTGGCCCAGGTGATCCCTTATTCTTCCCAGGAGTCGGTCGTCACAGCTTTCCGCAGCCTTTTCCCTTCCTCTGCCTGCAGGTTGATGCAGCGTACGGCGGAGGGTTAAGAGGCGGGGGCGTTTTCGGCGGCTCCCCCCCTTCTCCCTTTCGGTCTGTCCCCGGATGAGCACTTCCGGCGGGCTCTGGCTAGGGGAGACGACCCCCTGCCAACAGAACACCCTCCGGTCTTAGATCAGGACCTCCACTTCGCGGCAGCGATGACTGTCGGGTCTCTTGGCCGTCTTCGCGAGTTGAGGCGCGAGTGTGTCGGCCCGCTTCGGGAGTTGAAGCGTCGTTGGAGCCACCTGCGCAAGCTCCAGACTCCGGCGGTCCGGAAGGTCACGGCCCAGCGCGACCTGGGTTTACTTAGTCTCTTCGTTGTTCTTCTGTCGTGGCCAGATACTACTCTTCCTTCACACCTTTTGTTCGGCATGCCGGCGGTCGGCACCTCTCTTCCGTGTGGAGTCTTTCCACAACAGAGCTTCGACGCTATCCCGCTCCACCGGCTCTTCGAGAATGTGGACTCCCACAACAAGGCTATTCAGGGGGCTCTATTCGGCCGGGGCCACATGATGACTTTTTGTTGGAGCAATCTACTAAGGACTTTGAGGCAGGCTTCTGTTCGGCGCCCTTGTCCTGGTCGGAGCTTCTTCGCCATACCAAAGGCAAGCCAATTCGATTGATACCACGGTGCGTGATTTCTCAGGCCTCCGGTAAGCAAAGAGTGATCGACAACGCGGACCACGGAGGACAGAGCGAGCTCAGCTCTGACTCCAATAAGCTGGTGCTGTGCTCGGCCCTTCGCCCGGCCCAGCACGTCTCTCTGGCAATGCCAGCCCGGCGGTCGCCCGCCGCCTGCTGGAGGGAAGGCGGAGGCGAAGACTGGCCGGACGCCTATCGCCATTGCCCCATGCATGGACGAGGACCAGTCCAGGGCCTGCGTGGTGGTGTGGTACCACAAGGATTGGGCCCAGCCGGCGTACCAGGTGTACTCAGGCCTCCTCTTTGGGCTCCCGCTGGCGGTGACCAGCTTCAACTGGCTCAGCAGGTTCTCAGAGGCGGTGGGCCGTCAGCTCGTCTGTGTCCTGGTCTCTATGTACTTCGATGACGCGCACCTTACAGACCCAGCGTCCGCTAAGGGGTCCGCCCAGTTCGCCTTCTCCGAAGTCAACAAGCTCTTGGGATCCCCTTTCGCAGAGGCCAAGCGGCAACCGATGAGTACAGTCGGAGACTTCCTCGGGTTGGAGTGGGACTTCCGCGACGTGGGGAGTGACCACGTAGTGAAGTTCTGGGTCCGGACCAGACTCCAGGAGAAGGTTGAGGGCCTCTTGCTCCAAGCCGAGAAGGATGGCTGCCTCCCGCCAGGCTTGGCGTCAAAGCTGTATGGCATGCTCAATTTTCTCGAGCAGGGGGTGTATGGACGTATTGGCACAGGGGGCATCGGTGCCCTCAAGGAACGCCAGTATGAAACAGCTCGGGAGTTGACCCCAGCTATCCGTTCGTCTTTCGAGGTCATCCGAGCCATTTTGTCGCTGCGGCCGCGTCGGGCCGTGGAGGTGCTTGCTCCCTCCTGCGCCCGTTTCGTCGCAGCCAGCGATGCCGCGGAGGACGAACCGCGCAAGGGCACGGGTGGTTTCCTGTTGCTTTGGCCGGGCAGCGAGCCTGGCCGCGAAGCCTTCGTGGCGCAGATTGACCGGCACACTTACGAGGCTTTTCTCCCGGGCGAGGTTAAAATCGCGCAGCTCGAGTTATCCATGGTTCTCTTTGCCTTCACAGCCCGGGCCTCAACCTTTCGCTTTCGCCGTGGTACGTGGTACATTGACAACGTGGCCGCGCTTATGGCACTCATTCGAGGGCGTTCCGATTCTCCCGACCTCGAGCGGCTCGCACATCTCATTCATGTGGCCCTCTTCTCTCTCCAGGTTTGAGTTTACTGGGAGTGGGTGCCCAGTAAGTCCAACTGGTCCGACTCGATCAGTCGATTGGGTGCGTCGGATCCTTGGGCTGCTTCTCGCGGCTTCTGCCTTCACCACGCTCTTTTTCCGACCGAGGTGTGGTCTCTGCCTCTGGTGCCGGCCATGCTGGTGTTTCAGTTTCTGCAGAAGTGCTCTGGGACTAGTGCATTGGGATATCGAACCGTGCTGGTTCGGGGTGGGGCTTGCAACCCGGCGTTGACCCGAGTTTTGCTAGCCTCATTTATCCGGATGTTTTACCAACGCATTTCCCGTAGTTGCGGGTTCTACAGACTGAGACGGCACTAGCGATGTGAAAAGAGCTGTGTGTGCAGTAGCCTCTGTGATTCGATATGCGGATGTATGCCATGTGTAGAGTTTGGCAGGCTTGGGTGCACATGTATCATCTGCGATCGATATCATGCCCTTTTAGTTCAAGCCTTGGCAGTTGAGCCAAAAAGACAGGATTTTGTTGCCCGCCCTCCCTCCCCTTTTTCTGAGACGATCCTTCGTGGGGCTATCCTCTCTTCTAGGGTGGGCAGCGAGAGTTTTCTCGACTGCATTCGGAGGGGATATCGAACCGTGCTGGTTCGGGGTGGGGCTTGCAACCCGGAGTTGACCCGGGTTTTGCTAGCCTCATTTATCCGGATGTTTTACCAAAGCATTTCCCGTAGTTGCAGGTTCTACAGACTGAGACGGCACTAGCGATGTGAAAAGAGCTGTGTGTGCAGTAGCCTCTGTGATTCGATATGCGGATGAGATGCTTTAATTTCGTAGTGGACTGGAAGTTTCTCTAGACGTCGACGTGTTTCGGCGCATGTGGCCCATGCGGATTCTTCTGCAGGAGTTCGCGGAGGTCGCGCCCAGATATCGCTACTTGCTAAACTTGAACGGCGTGGTGTCTTCGTGGCGCCTTTCGCAACTGCTCCGCGCTTCGGCTTAATACTTGGGCATTTCCCATTCCCGGCAACCCCTCAGCCCTTCCCTTCATCCATGTCCAGGGCCAGATTTTGGTAACATGTCATGTAGTGCCGAGAATCTTTCGAATTTATCGGCGAGCGGACACGCCGCCGCTGCCGTCACCACCAGCACCACCAGCAGCAGCGACACTGCCAATGCACGAGTACTAGTACTCACCCTGCTACTACCCAGGGTCCTTTGAACACACCAAGAATTTCAAGTGTACGGGGTCTTCACACTGGGTGCGTGCTTCGTGTTTGTATTGGCAACCTGGGCTGAAAGATAGCTCTCCTTCTTAAAAACCCACGTGCGCGAGGAACAGCGAGGTCCGAGCGGAAGAGATCTTTTTCCGCGGTGCATGGTCATGGAATATAGGGGGCAACGCGCACTTGAGTCGCTCAGAACATCAGCTTACTCTAGTTCGTCCAGTCAAAAACATGTGCTGGTTTGCTCTTCGGCTGCTTCACCGGATGGACAGGTTCTTGAGTTTTCACGCTTGCGCCAATTGTTGTGCCATTGTTGTCGTCAAGAAAAGGAACAGAAGCGCTCGCCATATGTTTGTCCAAGCGCTTTTCCGCATGGACAAGAGAAAGCATTCCGGGTTCTGTAGTTGATGAGGCATTTCTTCAGGCCGTGGTCGCGCCTGACCGAAATCGCAACGCAAGTTCTTTCAGACAGAGGCTGCTACAGTAAATCGTGCCGGCACTCGTCGGACAGTTGTCGTCCACTCTTGCGTGGTTCTGGGTGTCTTCGAGCCAAGGCACTGGCTCGGTGCTGCTTCTACAACGATCGCCCACTCACGAAGCCTTGCACTGGGAACTGGTCGAGTGGAAGCCCCGCAGACAAAGACAAGTGTAGCAGTGTAGCAGTGAAAACGTCCTAGACTCCTAGACGCGTTAGTGGAACACCCGGCTTGCAGCAGCGAGTTCTGGAGGCACTACGTCCCCGTCTCTGCCAGCCTGGATGACCTCGTTGAAGTGGTTACAACCTTGGAGGGCAATGAGACCCTTGCCAAAGGGATTGCTGAGGCCTGGCTTTTGTGCTTGTGCTGGCACGAAGAGCAGAGGCCTCCGTTGGAAACTTTCCAGGCCGGAGCTGACTTCTATGCTCGACGTATGCGGCCAGAGGTGCCGGGCCCTGCTGGCGAGACTGTGCTCGGCCGTTTCGGCTTGGTCCTATTTGCCCTAAGGACGCCTACTGCATAGCGCTGCGAACCTTGGAGATTTCCCAGCTTCCAGAGGCGCTGGGGCCAGGGTACAGGGTACTTCAGTCTGTACTTACAAGGGTCTTATTGAAAAAATACTTCTGCGTGGCGCGACTCATGTTTTTGATTCATTACAGGTGACGCCACAGATGTTGGCGAGTCGAGGATTTGTGCGGGCTCCTGGCCTGGAAGTGCTTTCAAGCCACGCGGCATGGCACGCAAAAGAGCTAACAAGGGACATACCGAAGCGAATCACTGCAATGTTGACTTGTGGGAGGTGCTTGTATCGATTTTGCAAGTAGAAAACTCAGACATCGGCCAAATCCGCTCCGTCCACGCTTCGCGAGCGAATAGAAAGCCGGCTGGAGCTGTGATCTCCGGCATCACCTGTTCTCGTCGTGGAGATCTTTCTACCTGGAATTTGCAAAGAGCCGGTCCAACATCCACCATGTATTCCACAATGACGTGCGCCCACGCTGTAAGCTTGAACTCGGCAAGCTGAGCACCGGAAGTTGGAACTTGGAGCGGATCCCGGACGCAGGGGGTCGGGAGTCGAAGGGAGCTGCAGGAGGCTGGACGCGACAGACCCATGCGAAGCTGAGACGGAAAATGGCTGCATGGAGTCAAAATTTGATGAGCGTTGCTTTGCCACATGCATCCGCAGCCTCCATACCAGGCTGCATGTCAAAGGCAAGCGATGTATCTTCGGCCATGGCGCCATTTCCTCAGAGGCTCCGGAGGCAAGCCGTGTGAGAAAGGCATTCCTTGACTGCGTCTTGGGCGATCCCAGGTTCAACCCGGAGAAATACGCTTGCATCAGAATCTTCACCATCCGACAATCCCCAAGCTTTTCGAGTGCTCGAAAACAGACAAGGGCAGAGTTACCGTACGGTATGGTCTTCTTCATAGGAACATCGTCGAGTTGATCGATGTGCGGCCCTGAGTCTCGATGTGTCTGCTGCAATTTGCTGCATCTCCAGCTCTCGCAGACTTTTCACGATGACAGCAGCAAGATGGTGTCCCTGGTTCTGGAGTTCTGCAAAGGAGCGATGTGTGTTCGCCGCACTTGACAGTCTGTGGCCACATGTCAGACAAGAGGTGGAGACCTACTGGAAGTGATGTCACGCCATCGTGAAAAGAACAGCAAAGGCCGGGTCGGCTTCTGATGAGAATTCTGCAAGCTAGAGCAGATAGAGCAGAGAGCTGCTTGAGAGCTGCTTCAGCTGTTGCAAGGACTCAGAGAATCTGCGACACGAAGGGCCATGAAGCACACGCCAAAGCCTTGAGAAGGGGTCGGGACAGCCACTCGAAGGCACTGAATCAACACAGCATAGCAGCTGCAAGGTTTCAAGCGCTGGCCTACCTTCACGAACAAGGCAAAGACTTCGACGTGGTAATGTTTTTGCGTGCCTCGTGGGTGCTTCTTGGAGGGACGGGTTGCGAAGAACAGCATGTTGGAACCCGTACAGGCATGACCACGTAAACAGTTCAAAAGCCGCCCAAGCTTGGTTACACCTGGTTGTATTCAAGTAAACGCGCAGGATAGAAGAGGTTGCAGGTAGCCAGCTCCTCCGGTAAGAGAATGAAGCGTATGCTGTGCTTCTAATTGCTCACTCAGCACGATGGCAACACCTTCTTGTCGGACAGAGTTGACTAAAGCATGTGTGCTTAGACGGTGCAATGCATTGTTGTCACAGTCATGGCCACGGCAGGCGTGGTGCATCGAGACGTGAAGTGTGAGAATGTGTTCAAAGTTGAGGCGTGCCTGCAGCACCCGGAGGAATTACACGGCTATTGATTGACAACTTATAGCCATGGAGACTTGCCACAGGTCCGTGACACATGTGCTGCGTGCAGGCACCCAATACCGTCGACCTTGAGGATTGCACGTACAAGCTGGGTGATTTCGGCCTTGCTGCGTGCGTGATGCCTGACGAGGTATCCCTGTGAAAGCAAGGTGACACAAACTATTGGTTTCGGTGTTAGGGCCCCTGTGCTGAGGTGTTGATGGACCAGGTGGGCTCTCCTTCGACTTCAGCTCCGGAAGTCGTGCGAGGGTGCCCCTGGCCTGTTACTCCTGCGATCTCATGCAGAGTGTCCTGTACTTGCCTCAGGCGCCCCTATGGCAAGCCGGCCGACATGTGGTCTGCAGGAGCTGCAATCTACACGCTCCTTGCGGGCAGGAGGCCCTTTGAAGCTCGTCGCCCAGACACCATTGTCGCCTAATGCTTGGTCTGACCTCCACGTTTGCGGCCCCTCAAGGCTTCCAGCTACATGCAGATGGTGAGGGTCATGAGCAAGGCATGATCTGTCAAAACGCTTCCGCAAGAACTAAGCCGACGAAGCCATACTAAGCCTAAGCCAGGTCGAGGTGTCCTTCAGCGACGACACCTGGTCTCGAACCTCGAAGGCGGTGGCATTTTTGTTTACGCACAGCGGGCTCAGGCTACAGGTGCTCTGGGCCTGTCCTTGGTCTTGTCAAAATATCGGCGCTGCGGGTTTCCTGTCTCGAGACACGCTCCCGTACAGCATTAAAGATACTCGCATCGGCTATTTTGTCATGCCGGCTGGCTCTTCTTTGTCCTCCCTCGCACACTAGCTTCTGAGAGTGGCTGCTGGGAACACGTCGGCAAAGGCTTCGCTACAACAGCAACCCGCCCTCTCCCCTACTAAATTCAGACTGCCCCACCTTTGCGGCTTCCCCTCGAACCGCCGTCTCCCTTTCAGAAAGCTGGTCTGATGCGGCCACTGACTGCTGGTTGAAGCAACAACTTGACCGGGCAACTGATTGTCTGAGGGCTTGGTAGTGTGCGCCTTCAAAAGAGAAGCCCTCAGCTTTCTTGTTGTGCGAGATCAAGCCATGAGTCCAAAGCCGGAAGCCTCGAAAATCGTGAGCCGCAACGCAGCGAAGCGCTCTTTACTCCCAAAGTCGACAAAGACACCGGAAAATCTCTGCAGGTCGGGATTTTGTGATGGCGATTCTTCGGGCCCTTGTAACCAGTTGAAACCGGGGATGAAGGCGCAGGCGTTGTGCCAACTGCAGGCTGCAGTGGATCTCTTGGGCGAGTTGATGCAGGAAGCGCCGGAGAAACGGCCCAGAGCTCAGACTCTTGCCCTTGCCTCAGACTGTCCAATGCCTCGCTTGAGGCCTTCATCTGGCAACATTCTCAAGCATCCCTGGTATGCACCTCAGACTCCTACAACACGTAGTGAGACCCAATGCTAGGCCTCCATGCAAGCAGGTGCCAACGAGAACACCGTGCATGCACAACCTCCTAAGGCCAGCGGCAAGGTGTCTCGCACTTGTTTCTGGCAGTCGGAAAACCGCACCAAACACGGACGGGAGATCATGATGCATCCAGGGGAATCACATGTGCTTCACTGTTCCGTGCATATATGGTCACGCGCTCCGCCCCCCCGTTTTAGGTGTCCCCCCCCTCCCCCGTGGTGTGCGGTGTGGTCTCTCTTCCCCCTGTGGGGTGGTTGTGGGGTTTTGGGGTTTAGCTTAAACTTTTGAGTTGCGGGTTTACTGATTCCATAGTCGCGAATGCTGATTTTGAGGCTCAAGATTTTCAGCTGTTCGATGCAAGGGGCCCTGGACGTGGGTCTCAACCTTCTTGGCAGGCTTCAGGGTCTGTCGTGTCCGTTTTACTGCGGGGGTAGTCTGCTGCCTGCTTTTGCTGCCGGCCTATCTACCGGGCTCCTACTTGGAGCTGCATTTACCACCTGGATTTTTCTTCGACCGACCCTCGTTGATCCCCAGCCAAGGCCCTCCTCGGCTTCTCCAGCGGCTAGGGCCCGTCACAGGAACGCAAGTGCCAGGCTTGCAGGGTACCTGCATGATTAGGGGGGACTCCGAACTGACTTTTCAGATTGGGAATATTTTGGTCACTCTTAGGGGTCCCCCTAGGGATTGTGTCAACCTTCAGGAGCACATTGCTCGTTACAGTGCTCCTTCCTCGCCTCCCGCTCCTTCTCGGGCTTCTTCCGGCTACTTGCTGGTGGACCCTGTGCCTGATCCTCCGGCTACTGAAGAGCCGGCTTCTTCTTCGCCTCAGCCGCCTGTGCCGGCTGAAACTAGAGGAGACGTCCTCGCCAGCTTCCCTCCACTGCCTGCGAGGTGGTCCTCCCTTGCGCATCAGTTGCAGAGCGCGCAGAGCTCCGGGATTGAAAGGCTCCGCCGTGCTTGGATTGCTGGCCATTGGGCTTCCGCTGCTCTTTCTGATAGGGTGGCCTCTCCTGCTCACACCCCTGTCCTCAGGCTTTCTTCGAGGTACTACATTGTGTTGCGTGCCCCTGGGCTGGACTCGCCCGCCTTGGTGGAAACCTCGCGAGCCTACTTCGACATTGTGGGACGGCCCTTCGCTCGGTCTACCATCTCCCACGGGTTCCCTTCCTTGCTGGAGGTGCGTGTCTACTGCGACGCCGCCGGTTTCGCAGTCCCACAGGTGCGATGAATCTTTCAGAGGTGCCAGATTTTGCCCTCAGCTCCCCTTCCACCCTCATCCTCGGCTGGCCGGAGGAGGAAGGTGGACCCATGGTCCTAGAGACTTGTGCGGTGTGTCTCCTGAAGAGACAAAATCCCAACAAAGGCCTCCTGATTGCAGTGCCCTCCCACTTCTTCGACGAAAGCCTCCTCCAAGCAGCCCAATCGAGCCCTCCTACCGAAGTGCTGGGGCCCTCCGAAGTCTTCGACTGTGCTGCTGCCATCATTGCAGAGGGTCAGCTTGTGGAACACAGCGCCAGACTGTCGGTTACTGTGATAGACTGCAGCGAGGAGCTATGCACCAGCCTGAAAATTGCGGGGATGCCACTTTCGGAGGGAGTCGAGCCGTTCGATCAAGAGGACCCTTCACTGGTCCCTTATGTGCCGAGCTTCCTGCCTCAGGTCGACCCTTGGCTCCGAAACCTGGATCGTGTGGCGTTTTACTCCCTCGACGAAGAGGGGCCCGTGCCCGGGCCGAAGCAAGGTGCAAAATCGAAGGCGAAGGCGAAGCAGACCCCTGCCCAGCGCAAAATGTCTGCAGCCGCCATTGCCGAGAAGCTAGAGGCTGCTTTATCAGTGCTCCCGGCCCTCAACTCCCGGCTGGACGAGCTTACGGAGCGACAGTCCCGCTTGGAGGCGGGAGGGGCCGCGTTGACCACGGGCGCGCGAGCCCCTCTGCATGCCCAGTTGGGGCTACCTGCCGGAGGCACGCCGGGACAGCCAGCATCATCAAAGCAGGTGGCCAATCTGGTGGGGGCTCCCCCGAAGAGAGGCCAAGAGGTCCTAAGGTTAGAAGGGGGAATCGGGACGCCAGCGGCCGTACAAGAAGCTCAGGACCACCTGGCTCCCGCGGAGGAAAGCAGCATGGTCCAAGCCCTCATGACACAGTCGGCTGCCCTGACCACCTTGGTGAATCACCTCGCCCAGCAGGGCGGAGGAGATCCGCTGCTCGACCCTCAGACCTCCGGGGCTTCTGTAGGCGCGCGTGGTTCCTTAGGCAGAGCGAAGCTGCAGGCAGAGTTGGCTTTGAAAAAGGGAGCCTTCTACACAAAGGTCCTGCAGGCGGCGGCTCGCCGAATGGACCCGACCCAGAATTGCGAGGCAGAGCCAAGCGAGTTGAGGGAAAGAGGCCTCTCCATGACAAAATACATAGAGCGGTTCGGAGGCTACGGCCAGGTGCGAAACATTGCCCTGGTACAGTGGCAAGTCTGCAATGCCCTAGATTTGGCCATGTCTGGGCAGATGGATGGGTGCCTGGATGTCTTGGCCCTCCTATGCGTGTGCCTGGAGCAGTGCTCGCTAGATGGCGGGAACATGGACATAGGATACCTCCTCAGTCTCCAAGAGGAGCCGCCGGCGGCTATTATGAGCAATCGCAGCTTGATGTCTGTGGGCGGCCGCCACCGGGCCTTTGCCCCCTTGTCGGACCAGAGATGGGTCACGACTTCGCTGGCTTTCCTCCGCGAGCAGGATTTGATCACCCAGCGGCGGTCCGACCTGAACTCAGATCGCCCCGGATCGAGCGGAGACCCGGCAGGGGAGGATGGAGGATGGAAGAAGAAAAAGGCAAAAGCAAAGGCAAAGGCAACCTGGACGAAGAAGCCAGATGCCTAGCTACAGTCAGCGTCCTTAGTCGCATCGATTTCATGTGATCCATGCAAGTAGTTGGGGGAAAGGGTCCGGGGAGGGTCGCATCAACTCTTCTTGAATCCATGCAAGTACTTGGTGTTTGCTATGTTTCGTATAGAACCGGAAAGTTGACCATTTCTATCTGTATCGAGCAAGCAGTTGCGGGAAACATTTCAGGAAGTCGACCCAATCATCGTGTAGTTGGGGGAAAGTATACCCAAAATTCTCATGTTGCAAGAAACAACTACTCCCAGTTGCTAAATCGTTGCGTTTCGTTCGTGGCAGCGCCAGACCTTCGGGGGAAGCTTTGTCGGGGGGTCGTTGCGTTTCGGTGTGCACATGGGGGAAAGGCTTTCAAGATTATGATCTGCGGTGTTTGTTTGCTGCAGGGTCCAGGCCCCAAGTCGTCCCAGGTCCAGTGTGCAGTTGGGGATTCTGCTAAAGCGCGTCAATCGGGATCCTGGGACATGCTGGTAAACTAGAAAGGCTGGCTTTGTTTGCTCTTTGCTGCGATGCCACTGAAGTCTGAGGTGGTTCTTGAGTGGCTGCTTGCAAAATCGAGCGTCTACATGGGGAAAGGGTGCTTTTGATGTGCTGTTTGCTGTGATGCCGCTGATGTGTTTCTTGAGCGGCTGCTTGCAAAATCGAGCGTCTACATGGGGAATGGGTGCTTTTGATGCGCTGTTTGTTGTGATGCCACTGATGTGTTTCTTGAGCGGCTGCTTGCAGAATCGAGCGTTTACATGGGGAATTGCTGGTTTTGATTTGGTGTTTGCTGCGATGCCACTGATGTCTGAGGCGTTTTTGGAGCGCCTGTTCGTGAAGTCGAACGTCTACATGGGGATCGACTGGGTTTGATGCGCTTAGATGCCACAGATATGACTGATGTGTCTCGTAGGCATGCTTGTGAAATTGGGAATGGCTCTTAAATCGCCCTTGAGGCTTTGGACATCAAGCCTAAAACTGCTTTCCAAGCACTGGTATTACTCTTCTGCTGCTCTTCCTCCTGCTGCTGCTTGCTGCTGCCACCACGACCACTGCCGCTGCCATTGCACTGCTACCACTGCGACTGTCACAGCGTCACTGCCTCCTGCTGGGCTCTGGGTTGGCAACAGAGGGCGCCGCTTACGCACTGCTTACGCGCACCTTACGCGCAGCTTACGCGAATTGCGCCATTCACCACACAATTTTAGACCTGTGCCAGGCTCCCGAGCCAGCAGAAGGCTGCAAATACCAACAGCAGCACGCGGGTTAAGTACATGCATCTCGGGGTCCGTTCTTCACTTGTCCCCGGAGGTGTGCACTTGCAGAAGGCTGCAAAAACGAGGCGCAGCACGCAGGTATAAGATCATGCATCTCAGGGTCCGTTCTTCACCTGTCCCCCGAGGTGTGCACGTGCAGAAGGCTGCTAAAATCGAGCCGCAGCACGCAGGTATACGTGCATGCATCTCGGGGTCCGCTTTCACCTGTCCCCGGAGGTGTGCACTTGCAGAAGGCTGCAAGTAAGAAACAGCAGCACCCGGGTTAAGTACATGCATCTCGGCGTTGGTTCTTCACTTGTCCCCGGAGGTGTGCACTTGCAGAAGGCTGCAAAAACGAGCCGCAGCACGCAGGTATAAGATCATGCATCTCAGAGTCCGTTCTTCACCTGTCCCCCGCAGAAGGCTGCAAAAACGAACCGCAGCACGCAGGTATAAGTACATGCATCTCGGGGTCCGTTGTTCACTCTTGGGGGAAGGTGTGCGCGGGGTGTGCTCTTGCGGGAACGGCAAATGCAAGGACTTTGCAGCGACCCCAGTCGTTGCGTTTGTGCAGATGGGGGAAGCATCAAAAAGCGAAATGCAACGACAACAGCGCGCAGGAGTACATTTGCAAGCAAATATGCTTGCTTGGGCAGCAAGTACTGGGCTTATGAGTGTCCTCGGAAGGGTTCAGCGGTTCGGAAGTTGTATGCAACACGAAACCAGTACAGTGGATGGTGTTTCATGAATGCACATGCGTCTCTGAAGTGTGGAAATTGTTGCGCCATTCATGTGCACCCACTGCTTCTGCTGAGCCATTTTGGCTTCGCTCCAATCGACGGGCGATTGGTGCTTGTGATTCTACGGCTGTTTCTGTTGAGCGGGTGCTTCTGAAAACGGGCGTCTACATGGGGAACGGCTGGT